TTTTACTGTGTAATGAAATTTTACAAGGTTCAGAGACTTGAAAGCTGAATTCTCTGCTGCCCATCTCTCCTCCCCATCCCAAACTCCGCTCAGCCCAGGCTGAATTATTACTCAGCCAGTCAACATATTTATCATTCCTGCCTGCAACGGTCCAGGGTACCCCCTGCATCTCTGCAGAGAGGGATTGAAAACCTTCTTTCTTTTTTTAATGAACACATTTAATTAAAAACCTTGTGAATGCCCAGCCATGAAGTGTGCAGGAGAAAGTCAACTCGTTGGCACCCAGCTCCTGCTTCCAAATCACTTTCATAGGAGTGTGAGAGGGGGACCAGGATGGCCCTGGAGGGAGACCAGGAAAGATTCCCTTCCCCATGATGGGCTTCAAGAGCCACTGGAGACCCACCTGCCTGGAGAGAAGGTGGGCAATGCCTGGGCTTTGCAGTGGGGTTCTCCAGCTCTGCTTGGATGGGCGCTGCCATCAGGGTTAGTGACACACTGTGGATTTGGGATGGGAATAACCCCAGAGGAGGAATGAGCCCCCCAGGGCCCTCCAGCCCTGCCATGTCCTAGAAAACCTCATGTGCCAGAGCTCTCCTCGTGTGACAGAGGAGGGCAGTGAGCCAAGGAGGCTGGGAAAAGCCCCTGGGCTTCAGCTGTCCCCAAAGCTTGTGAGCCTGGGGGCTGTCCCCTCCCCACTGGGGACAGCAGCCCAAATTAACCCCTCCTGGGCTTCCCTGTGCAGCTCTCACCAGCTCATCCCAGTGATGGAGCCTCCTTGGGGCCAGGAGCTCTGTGCTCTGCCCTGCTTAGAAAGCAGCAGCAGTTCAGCATATCCCAGTGGGACCTTGTCCAACAAGTGGCATCTCCATCCCTGCCCCATGCCTGGTGTTCAGCACCCAGGGACACTGGACCTGGCACCTTCTCCACGTGTGCTCAGCCCTGAGGGACCCAGGGCCCCATGACAACTCCAGGAATGGAGGCACTGAGAGGCTTTTGCCATGAAGCCAAGAGGAGTCTCAGGTGCCAGGAGCTCAACCAGCACCTCCCTGCTCCCAGAACAGTCCTGGGCTCTCCCCAGCATGGCTCCTTCCCTCTGCCCCTCCTGTGGCCATGGCATTTGTGCCCAGCCAAGTTCTTTCCCATTCCAGCCCTTCCCACTGGTGGCTGCTGTCACTCTTTTCCCAGTGGGACCCCTGCAGGATCTCATCTTGCAGGGTGGAGCTGTGGAAAGCCCAGCTCAGCCCTGCAGGGAGAGCGGCTGAGGCTCCTCATCCCCTACCTGCCAGGTGGGGTCAGCGTGTCGGAAGTAGCAGAAGTTGTCAGTAATCCACTTGTAGATGGCAGAGAGGGTGATTTTGGGTTTATTGCTGGCTTCCATGGCCATGCAGATGAGGGTGGCGTATGAGTAGGGGGGCTTGATGTGAGGGTTGGTCTTGTAGTCGATGTCCCCGGCCAGATGAGGGGGCACAGCCGGGTCGTGCTGCGAGCTGGAGGAGGTGGAGGAGGAGACGGGAGTGCAGGGCGTGTGCCGAGTGCCCTTGCAGGCCGGGTCAGCGGCCAGGGGCGAGCACGGAGACTCGAAATCAACCAGGCTGAACAGGCTCTCACTCATGGTGTAGCAGTCCTGCGGGTCCGAGCCGGAGTACAACTGAGGCAGGCCAGTCTGCGCCACTGTGAAGTCCCTCAGCCACATGAGGTCGGGCAGGCTGTCATCCACGTCTTCCTCCACGCACTTCAGTTTGCCCTTGGCTTTCAGTGCTTGGCCTGGCCACGCCATGCCTCTCTCGGTGCTTCCCAGGCTGCACGGGAACGCGAGGGAAGGGATGGGGCAGGTCCTGCAATAACAACAGGGACGGGGATGAGGCTCCCCAAGGTGCAGTCTCTTCTGACAGCCAGGCAGGGCCACCCCTGGGTGCTCCTGGAGCTGCTGGGTGAGACCCACCCCTGGTGTGCTGTGCAGGGACCTGTAACGCCTGCCCTGAGGGGCTTTAGCAGCCTTAAACCTCGGGGAAATTCCCTCCAACTCCCACACCTCAGTGTCCCCCACTGACCCTAAGGGGCTTAAGCACCCTTAAACCTCGGGGAAGCTCCCTCAAACTCCCACACCTCAGTGTCCCCCACTGACCCTAAGGGGCTTAAGCACCCTTAAACCTCGGGGAAGCTCCCTCAAACTCCCACACCTCAGTGTCACCCACTGACCTGCTGCGCAGCCAGCTCTTGGCTGAAAAAGAATTAAAAAAAAACCCAACAGAAAGCCCCTCAAATAACCAAAATCCAGCCCTGCCATCCCACAAAGTGAGGTTGTTTCTTGGGAACACACATCTCTGGATACATGGCACTCACAGGACTGACTCTCAGCATTCCTCACCAGGACAAAATACTTGAAAGTTTTCCCCTTGCAGCCAACCTCTCTCGGTTTGATGCTAATTCTGCTTTTACTTCCCGTGGTACCCAGAACAACTCAGAAGGTACCACCCCAGAACAACTCAGGGGTGGGCTGGGGGAGCTGGTGGGGTCCCACCCCGAGCACACCCTGAGTCAGAGCGAGCCGGCGGCTTCAGACTTTGGCGAATCCTGTGTCGGGGACTTGCATTTTAACCCAAAATCCCGAGTGTTTGGGC